AATGACTTAGCCTTGCTTCTTTTCCCCATGAAGTTTAGAGTCTAGAATGGAAAATAGAAATAAAAAATAATTATAATGGCATTCAGTTTTAAGACTGATAAGAGAAAAGTTGGGGAACCATGAGATTAACATGAGTAAAAACTGGATCTCAGAAGATTAAATAGGCTTTTTGTTCTCCATTTTTATTTAAATTAGAAACAAGATTGTTTTACATGTAAATCCCTGTTCCCTCTCCCTCTCCTCCTCTCATGCCCCCCACTAACATCCAACCTATCCCATACCCTTTCTGCTGCCCCCAGGAGGGTGAGAATTTCCATGGGGGATATTCAGAGTCTGTCATATTCTTCGGAATAGGGCATAGGCCCTCCCCCATGTGTCTAGGCCGAAGGAGTATCCCTCTATGGAGAATAGGCTCCCGAAGTCCATTCCTATGCTAGGATAAATACTGATCTACTACAAGAGACCCTATAGATTTCCGAGGCCTCTTCACTGACACCCATGTTCATGGGGTCTGGAACATGCTGGTTTCCCAGCTATCAATCTGGGGAGACCATGAGCTCCCTCTTGTTCAGATCAGCTGTTTCTGTTCCAGCCTGGTCTGGACCCCTTTGCTCATTGCTCCTCCCTCTCTGCAACTGGATTCCAGTTCAGTTCAGTGTTTAGCTGTGGATGTCTGATTCTACTTCCATCAGCTGCTAGATGAAGGCTATAGCATGGCATATAAGTTAGTCATCAATCTCATTATCAGGGGAGGGCTTTTGAGATAGCCTCTCCTCTGTTGCTTAGATTGTTAGTTGGTGTCATTGTTGTAGATCTACAGATATTTTTCTTTTTAAACCTATAATGGCTCCCTCTATTATGGTATCTCTTATCTTAGGGGAGAAGTGGAGGGGTGGGGAGGACAAGAGAGAGCAGGAAGGTTAAATTGGAGGAAGAATAGGGGAAATAGGCTTCTTCACAGAAGTAAATTCCAAGAGAAATTCCCAAGAATGAGTGGAGACAAGGCAGAACAAATATAAAGGTGACTTCTTTATGCAGAAGGGGAAAACAAGGAACCCTTGGACATAAGGGAACTAGGTATGTGCAAGGTGCTATTATAAATGAGAGCAGGAGAACTCTGAGATACAGAGATACAGAAGACCTCATACATGCATGATGCTGTCAGAAATAAAAGCAGTGAGACTGATATAGTCAAAGTGTGTGGAATGAGGTGAAACCAAAACTTGTCAAAGGCATGGACCTAAGATTGGATTACATAATTTCCTCTGAAAAAAATGATAGAAATAGTTATCCCTAGAAATACTCGTCTCTCTGCATTTCACTGGGAAATTTTCTGTTGCACAGTCCTATGATTCCAACATCTTATATGGCACCTGTCACATTGGGCATTCAATGTTTGTGAAGAGATACAAAGAATGGATGAATTGGTCTTGATCTCTCTGTAACCCAGTAACAAGACTGTGAGTCACTGGGGACTCTGGTTTAACAGGGACACAGAAAGGAAGGTTTTCTTGTGATTGTTGTTTTGTCTTCCCTTTTGTGGTGGCATGTACACTAACAAGCAATTATGCTGACCACCAGGTACATTGACAGCCAGTGTTAGAAGGAATGCTTTAAGAGGCTCCCAGACAGGTGAACTCCTCTATAATTAAAGCTTAAGTTTGGCCAAAGAAGGGATCCAACAAAGTCTCCCTAGAATACAATCAAATTTCAAGCAAACATTCTGAGGTTACAGAGCCAAGTAACATAGCTTCAGAATGATATCAGCTCAGTGACACAGAAAACATGGAGAACAAGAAGAGGGGAAAAAGCCATGGTCCAACGCTGATCTGAAACTTGATGAGAAATAATGACATTTGGGGCTTTGATTAGAACCTGCTCTCAGGATGTTTTTTCCTGCCTGGAGCCGTTTCGTTTTGATTCTGTAACTAGCAACTAGACCTTTGCTCGCAGCAGAATTCAGGTGTGTACAGAACTCTTTTCACGCATGCAAACATAAACCCTTTGCAGGTACAAATGCTTTGCCCTCTCTACTGCAGTCCATTCAATAGTTTGACTTTCTTCTTTGACTCTGTGAAGATAAACTTTGATCATCAGACTGCCCTGCTCCACCTTCAGTGGCTCACTGTTGCCAACAGAATAAAATAAAAAAGCTCTAAACTCACTACACTTCCTACCTTCACAACATGCTTGTCTAACCTCCTTGCATTTCTTCTCCAGTTGTTCACTGTAATGAAGCCATTATTTAGCTTATTAGATGCAATGCTGAACACAGCTGGTTTCCTGTATTCATTTTTTTCTTCCTTTTCATCCTCTTTTTTATTCTTTCCTCAAACAACTATGTCTGCAAAAGAAAACAAGATCACCTAAAGACCATCCCAAATAATGAAAATCTAACCAAACATTCCAGGATCTCATTACTTTCTTGCAAAAAAATTCAGATCCAGAGACATCTACTTTGTTTTCCAGATGACTGCATAGTTAAACATCTCAACACTCTCCTCTGTAGAATGGACAACTTTATGTGGTTGAACACTTTCAGAGAAAACAAGTGACAAGTGTAGATTTCTATGTCTCTAAAACACTGTATTATACAGGTGTTGATGTCCTGGGAATCTGCATTTGAACTTACATTAGACACATTATAGTCAAAATGGTACAGAGATAATATTTAAAAATATTCCACTTCCATATCGGGGTGGAATTTCAACATTTTATGTTCCTTATTCTCATTAGTTATATTTCTTCATTGATATGCTGAAGGCAGAATTGACCTACATGTCTGGCTTTGGTTAACAGAATTTTTCTGAAAAAAAGGGGGGTTGAGAATAATGCTACAGTAGAAATGTGTGGCAGTGTATTTGCAGTTTAGGCTAAGAATGTCCCAGGCTGACTCTAAGTATCAAATTTTGGCAAAGTCACGGTGGCATTGCTCTACAGTCCTCCTCACAATACACTATGGATTAGTACTTTGGGGGCCAGATTTCTTCTCTGTGAAACATTTCTCTTCATAACAATCCAAGGTTCTTTCAGAAATACTTTATAGGTTACCATTTCCACCCATGTTTAAAAAACCCAGCATTTCATTTTTAGTTCCAAGGAGCAGACCTCTTCTGTCAATCTAAATGGATTTGTCGGTTAAAAGCACACATTGAGGCAGGATTACAAAGAAGAAAGCTCTCTGCCCTAAAATTACACCAGTTACACTCAGAGACCAAATCTTTCTATCGACTCTACCCAAAAAATTTTCAGATATCTACGTCTCGAGTGTTACAAGTTTTCTCAAGAAAAAAAAAAGATATTTGACATGTTTAATCAACAATTGAATCTTCATTTTATTTTGTCCTGGCTGAGGAAGGTTGGTTAATTGCAACCACCTGGAAGCAAGAATCATCAGTGAGACAGTCAGAGGATAGTGAATATCATAAAGTGATTTTTTAAAAAAGAAGGAGAGGGGATGGAGAAAGAGAGGGGGGAAGGGGGCAAAGAGAGCCAGGGAGGAGACCATACCCTCTTAAAAAGCTACCTAAAGGGGGGCTTGGCATTTGGGAAAATGTTTTTAAAAATGAAGTAAACAACCTAGATACAAGACACACACAATTTTGTAGAAGCAAAGTGACTTAGTTACATTTCTATTGCTGTGAGACACCACGACCCATTCTCATTCAAACTACCACACACACACAGTGTCTTGTTAAAGTTCTACTTTGCTTCAAATGAGCAACAAACATTATTAGAAGGTGTATTGGCTGGGGCCTTGAAAAAGACAGGAGGAAAGACCATCTGCTAGGAGGAAAAATGAATAAAGTTCAGAAACACATGGCTTAATTAGTTTAAGGAAACAATATTAAACTTTATGATGGTTAATCTTACTGGCTACTTAGCAACTTTAAATTAACATCTCCATTCTCTTCAGTGAAAATTAAAATATCAGAGCATATGTATTCCTTGTTACTTACATATAATTAAAGTAATAACCCAGGATTAATTATTATAGATGCAATAAATGATCAACATTTAAGCCAAGAGGCAGGAAAGAGACAAGCAGAGGTTTTAACAGTAACAAATTGGCAACATTTTTTTAAATCAAATTTTCATTTTATGCAGCAAACATAGAAGCCAAAGATGGCATTGGCCAGACAGGACCACCCATTTGGGAAAGTTGGCTATGACAGAACTTTTATAGTGTTGCACAGTATTAAGTGTAAAAGAACATGGTTTATGAAGCAACCATAAATATCTACTCAAATTTATGCCCAATTTTTTATATTAGCACTGCAGTGGGTCATTCTCTGGTGTCAGGTAAGTTTCAAAGTCTGAATGGAGTCTGAGGCCGAATTCTGCCTTGGTCCCTGGAGTTGCTGTGACAATAAGGCTATCCTGCCATGCTGGGTAACAGTCACCATGTTTATATATTGCTAATGTTCATTCAAAGCTCAAGCTTCCTGTTCACATTTCCAACTCCTGAAGTGCTCTATTTGTTGTTGTTTCTGTAAGAAAAAACTCCAGAGATGAGTCGTTCTCTACTCCCACTTTCCACCGCTCTGACTTCTCTCTTCTTTGCCCTGATTACACTTATTTGTGACCACAAATTCTTCCCCTTTATTTCTTTCTCCTTATCTGTCTGTGTTGAACCCATGATCATACACACAGCCATTAAGAAGAGGACAGAGTAAGAAGAGTATATGATGGTTATAATCTGAAACGTCAGCAAGAAGATGGCTCCCACTCCCCTAGCTTGCCATCCTCTTGGTGTCCCCTCATATTTTTTAATTATTAATTATTATTTCATGCGGGAATGACTTGTGAATGCCTACACATGTGTACTGTAGCATGTGTATGGAGGTCAGAGAACAAGTTCTAGAGCTGGTTCTCTCCTTCCACATTTATGTAGGTTCCAGGGATCAAAATCAGTTTGTCACACTCAAACAGCAAGCACCTCCTACTTGCTTAGCATCTTCTGCATCTAAATAAAGATTGGGGATTTTGTTGTTTTTCAATAAGGAGGAGGGCAAAAGCATCTCCCCATTTTCACAAATTATGCAGTGGGGTTTCTCATGTTTGAGGAAATCACAGGAATCAGTACATCTGGAGTTCAATGGACAAGCTTAGCCTTGGGGAAACCATCAGCATCATCATGGTATTTCCCTTGCTAGGTAAGTGTACATCTCAATGATGTTAACACATAGGCCCTATCTGGTTTCTCACTTTTTGAACCCTGTTGGAGAACATCCCCCTTCTGGCCTGTTTTTGTAATCAACCAATTCCATAATCCTGCTGGAAAGGTTTCTACCAGTTCTGTATTGCTTACAGGATACTATGTAAACTATAGGTGCCAGAAACTCCTGATATCTAGCGACATTCATGTGCACACTCTGCACAAGTCCCTTTTCCCACACAGACCCCAGTCCTCAGTGATTCACTCTTCTGCATTACACATGTGGCTTCCTCTGCCATGGGGTTCCTTTGCTTGTTCTCAGAACTATCTCCTGCCCTCCTACTCTGCTCTGTGTCTTGCAAAACTGGAACTCCTGCTCACTGATTCTAGAAGGATACTGGAATATGGCAGAACTCACCCTATGAAGGATACTGGAATATGGCAGAAAAGGAGAAATCCAAGTGTTCACCCTCTTACTATCTTGAGTAGTGTTTCTTTTTGGCAGAGGGAGCCTCTCAAGTGTGCCTCTCTCCAAAGCCCATCTCCAGGTAGAGCAGCCCTGCCCATATTCTCAACCTCTAGCTGGTACAATTGCTTTGATAACTACCCCACCTCCTATTGTGGTCTCTCCAAGCTTCCTATGCATTCCTTTGTAGATCATGCTCATGGCTGCTTGAACAATAAGTCTTTATGCCATCCACCAGAGCCCCACTGCCACGTGGGCAGTCAAAATAAAATACAGAGACTTATATTAGGTACAATGCTGCTGGCCAATGACTAGAATTTCTTAATCTGTATATTTTATAAAGACATATCAGATTGGATGCCAGCAGCAGGTGTCTTCTCTTGTTGGGAATCACATGGAGGCTCCAGAGCAGAGACCAAGAGGAAAAGAACGACTTCCTGCTTGTCCCTCCTTATATTCTGAGTCTGCCTGCTATGTCACTTCCTGCTTGTTAACTACACAGAAGGATGTCCCCCATCATTCAACTCAATATGGAGTTTTCCTTCAACATGGCAAGATTAGCCATTTAGGCAAGAAACTGCTCTTGCCTGGACTGTTTGATAAATTGGACATGCAGGACCCATAGGAAAGTTACTGCTGAACTTGCAAAACAAGACAGTACTGAAGGGTTCCTGCTTCATGGAAAGTCTGCCAGACACACTGTGGCCTATAAGCTGAGGATGGATGCCCCAACGTTACAGAGGAACTTTGGGTAACTGTCCAGGTAGTGAGATGTCTCTGTCAATTCCAGAGTTTATATATTATCCTTCTGTGGTCTTTGATGGAGTTGAAGACAGATAGTTATGGTTATAGTTTTTTTTAGTTATTACAAAAGATAAGTTACATATAAGACCTTAGACTCATGAAGACAGGATAGATGACAGAATATTTTCTTTAAATCTTGCTAAATGTTAATGAACTAAATATCATAACTATAGTTCTTACTTGATAACTGTTTTGTTATATATTTTACTATGTTAAGGTTAAAACCCTCATTTTTATTTACACAGATAAGAGGAGATGAAGGGGGATGTCCTTCTGTGTATGTTTATCTTATTGGTTGTTGATTAAAGGACTGTTTGGCCAATTAGGCAGCAAGTTAGGCTGGACTAGAAGTCAAGGAGGATTCTGGGAAATGTAGTCTTGTGATCCAGGCAGTAAGTTACATAGCAGGCAGACTCAGAATATAAGCAGGGTCAAGCAGGAAGTCATTCTCTTCTTCCTGCTCTCTGCTCTGGAGCTGCCATGTGACCACCAGAAAGACAGGACACAAGGCCAGAAACCTCTATAAGTTTTATAAATATATAGATTAATAGTATGGTTGATAATTAAGACTGATCTTGCAGATAAGAAATGCTAGTCATTGGCCAGCAACATTGTACCTAATGTAAGTCTCTATATGTTATTCTGGCCGCCAACATGGCAGCAGGGCTCAGGCAGCTTGGTATAAAGACTTATCATTACACTGCTATTATAGTTTTCTAATTACTTAAATCCTCCATTTTCATTTCTTCTGTTGAACAGGGCAGCTTTCATTTCCTTGACTGAAAGCTTAGCAACATAAAAAGAAATGGTTTTCTTTTGTTTTTCCTAACTTTATCTCCAACAAATGACAGAAAGGGTACTTTGAAGGAGGAACATCTGCCTTTTCCCATTGCCTGTGAGGCCTGAATATAGGGGCTTTTAAGGAAACATGATTTTGTAACATCGTCTATCTGCTCATATATACATTTGGAAGAAACTGTTCAAATATCAGTCATGTTCTCCTTCACAGACATGTTTTTCCTTTATGGAAAAAGATAGCAAATTTTTGTCATAAATGAGATTGATCATCAGATAGGAGGAGATGGAGAAGGAGGAGGAGGAGGAGGAGAAGGAGGAGATGGAGGCCGAGTATCAAATGACCAGCATGGTAGCTGATGTCTTTTTCCCATATCCTGTTTAACTCTAAAAGAAAAATAAAAAGTACTTTGATTCCCAACTGTAACTAATATCTAACTCAATACATTGCTTAAGTAAATGCTCCAATTTTTGAATGGAATGAATTATACACAAGACTAATAGCCCTGGCTTAATGTAAAAAGCTGTTGAAGCATATAGAAAGAATACATCAAGATGAAAGATACACATATATGAGCCAGTAAGTCCTCCAGAGTATGTGTCTGTCTGGTTCTGTTTTGCTTTCCAGGATCTTTTTCCATCTTCGTTTGCTATACATCCTCACATTGCTAATTAGGCAAACAAGTGTCTTAGTGATACTTCAAATTCAAGTCATGGAAACTCACACAAACTATTGCAATTACACAAAATATAGGCAGAATATGTTACCTTGTAGAAGCTATCTAAACCATGAATCCCAGGAAGGAAAAATGCAGCCAAGTCTCAGAATCAAGCCAGAATCAATCAGATAGCAGAAGAATTCTCTGCCTATATCACTATCCACTAACCTTGGTTTTAGGTGCTCTCAAATTTGTACAAATGAACCCTGGCTTCTCTGTGAGACTAGTAGAGATGTTTATTGCATATCTTTGACATCTAACTTAGCTAGCACTCAGTTCCCAATACCCTGGGTCCTGCCAATGGTCTTTAAATTCTCACTCTAATCACAGCAACTCCATCTGATCCAACACCAGTAAGGTGTCTTCTCCTAGTCATTTTGGTTTTATGTAGGCAAAGAAGGTCATATACCACAAGCAGTATTGCACTGATTGCTCCTATCTGCAAAATAATCATAAAAGACCAGATGGTTGCAGTGGTGGAGAGAATACCTCTCAAGCATCACATCTCAGTAAAGTGGCTGCTGCAGAGGAATGTTGACCTGAATTCAGATCCTCTGCTGCTACATAAAAGTTAAGAACAGAGGCATGTACCTCTAACCCTAGCATGGGAATCAGAGAAAAAAAAGGCAAGTCCTCAGAGTGAATTGGAAGATAGTTTAGCCATTGGTGGGCTCCATTGATCCTATGGGAGCCTTCCTTAAAACATAAGCTGAAGACCCATTAAAGAAGACAGCCAATATCAATTTCTGGCTTTTACATGCATACACAGTGGTGAGCATACCCCCTGACTCACACACATAAATGTTCACACATTCATACCACATACATATATACATACATACATACATACACACACACACACACACACACACACACACACACACACACACACACACACACACACACACACACCCCCACACATATAAAAATTAGGTAATGGAATCTGTAGTAAGCTAGTGTGTTAAATTATAACCAAATAGTTATTTTGGCTAAAGAACTGACAAATATTAGAATAACAAGGGCACCTATCTTTTTTTCCTCCTCCACCAGCTCAAGTATTTGTCTCTCTAAAGACCATGGCTGATATCATGAGTCCTGTAGGACTTAGCAACTACTGAAGTACCTAAGGAAAGAACTTGATTCAGTTTTGTTCAAGAGCCAGAGAGTTTCAGAACCTTATGTAAAACATACTAATTGACTAGTATAAAGCCCAGCAAAGCAATTGGATTTTGAATCAGTTTGAGAGCTACAGAGTCAGGAAGAAACTAATCAAAGATTAGTCTCTCATCTCTCTCTCATGACTTGGGAAAAGGAAGGAGATGAGATTATGAAGTGGCTTCATACTGTTGGAAGAATGGTTTAACCACTGTTCCTATACCTGCTATCTGCAATATGAGAAACCTCTTATTTTCAAACACAAGTGTAAGATGTCTACTATTAAAAGTATTTCAACAAGCAAAGTTGAATCCTGGTGGGTCAGCAGAAAGCCAACACCTGCCCTTCCGGCAAAGTCAAGCAACCAGAGGTGGGTGTGATACAGCTGAAGTCCTGGAAGAACAAAGAACATCAGCATGAAAGACAATGATAACAGGACTTCAGGAGATTGAAAGGGGAAAGACTTTGGAACTTTAACACTCATTCCTTAGAGCTGATAATTTAATGAAGCAACTGAAGTACAAAAAAAAAGTGGCCTAGAATTCTGGGAATATTTCAATGCACTTAAGCATGGTGGACACCACCAAGGAAAACACAGCAATGAGGAGGCAAACTATAGATGATATATGGAGAAAATAGAACAGCTGGAGAAGGGCAATAATAGGCATGCTCTGCCATGTCAGGAAAAAGAAAATATGTGTTGATCTGAATTAAAGGTCTAACCTGAGAATTGAGTTTAGTAATAAGTTCTAGCAGGATTGATGAAGACAGATACAATTCTCAATATGTTCTGTCCTGTGACCTGAGCTGGGTAGTAAGTTCTAGCAGGATTGATGAAGACAGATACAATTCTCAATATGTTCTGGTAAAAATCTCCGAGACCTTAACACAGAAGAATGCATAAGTCTTATAAACATTCAGATCAAAGAGAAAGTTTGCTTTGTAGATAGTAAGGATCGTCTAGTCAGTCCCAACACTGAAGACAAAGGACCTCTAGGAAAACACACTGAGGGCCTGAAGTTCAGGGACCTCTCACCAGCCATGATATAGTTCCCCAATGAGGTATA